AACAACTTGATATACAACTCATTAGGGACGGGTTGATATATTAATTTAACTGACACACAGGTAATAAATATACATAGAACAAGTTATAAATATATTATCATTGCAGTCACGCGTGTGGAAGGCTTGGAGAACGCTTGGAGAAGTGTATCTATGACTACTATAGCTAATTGCTTTAAAAGTGGCAGACTTAAACTAGTATATATAAGATATATTCACCAGTTGGGTCGCTCATGTTCCCGGAGTGTTCCTTGTTAGGAGCGGGAAGTCTTTGGACACCGGCGTCGGTACTGGAATATAACGATTAATGTATTAATATGATTGTTATAAGTGACGGGTTCAGAACAACTTGATATACAACTCATTAGGGACGGGTTGATATATTAATTTAACTGACACACAGGTAATAAATATACATAGAACAAGTTATAAATATATTATCATTGCAGTCACGCGTGTGGAAGGCTTGGAGAAAGCTTGGAGAAGTGTATCTATGACTACAATAGCTAATTGCTTTAAAAGTGGCAGACTTAAACTAGTATATATAAGATATAGTCACCAGTTGGGTCGCTCATGTTCCCGGAGTGTTCCTTGTTAGGAGCGGGAAGTCTTTGGACACCGGCGTCGGTACTGGAATATAACGATTAATGTATTAATATGATTGTTATAAGTGACGGGTTCAGAACAACTTGATATACAACTCATTAGGGACGGGTTGATATATTAATTTAACTGACACACAGGTAATAAATATACATAGAACAAGTTATAAATATATTATCATTGCAGTCACGCGTGTGGAAGGCTTGGAGAAAGCTTGGAGAAGTGTATCTATGACTACAATAGCTAATTGCTTTAAAAGTGGCAGACTTAAACTAGTATATATAAGATATAGTCACCAGTTGGGTCGCTCATGTTCCCGGAGTGTTCCTTGTTAGGAGCGGGAAGTCTTTGGACACCGGCGTCGGTACTGGAATATAACGATTAATGTATTAATACGATTGTTATAAGTGACGGGTTCAGAACAACTTGATATACAACTCATTAGGGACGGGTTGATATATTAATTTAACTGACACACAGGTAATAAATATACATAGAACAAGTTATAAATATATTATCATTGCAGTCACGCGTGTGGAAGGCTTGGAGAAAGCTTGGAGAAGTGTATCTATGACTACAATAGCTAATTGCTTTAAAAGTGGCAGACTTAAACTAGTATATATAAGATATAGTCACCAGTTGGGTCGCTCATGTTCCCGGAGTGTTCCTTGTTAGGAGCGGGAAGTCTTTGGACACCGGCGTCGGTACTGGAATATAACGATTAATGTATTAATATGATTGTTATAAGTGACGGGTTCAGAACAACTTGATATACAACTCATTAGGGACGGGTTGATATATGTATTAATTTAACTGACACACAGGTAATAAATATACATAGAACAAGTTATAAATATATTATCATTGCAGTCACGCGTGTGGAAGGCTTGCAGAAAGCTTGGAGAAGTGTATCTATGACTACAATAGCTAATTGCTTTAAAAGTGGCAGACTTAAACTAGTATATATAAGATATAGTCACCAGTTGGGTCGCTCATGTTCCCGGAGTGTTCCTTGTTAGGAGCGGGAAGTCTTTGGACACCGGCGTCGGTACTGGAATATAACGATTAATGTATTAATACGATTGTTATAAGTGACGGGTTCAGAACAACTTGATATACAACTCATTAGGGACGGGTTGATATATGTATTAATTTAACTGACACACAGGTAATAAATATACATAGAACAAGTTATAAATATATTATCATTGCAGTCACGCGTGTGGAAGGCTTGCAGAAAGCTTGGAGAAGTGTATCTATGACTACAATAGCTAATTGCTTTAAAAGTGGCAGACTTAAACTAGTATATATAAGATATAGTCACCAGTTGGGTCGCTCATGTTCCCGGAGTGTTCCTTGTTAGGAGCGGGAAGTCTTTGGACACCGGCGTCGGTACTGGAATATAACGATTAATGTATTATTATAATTGTTATAAGTGACGGGTTCAGAACAACTTGATATACAACTCATTAGGGACGGGTTGATATATTAATTTAACTGACACACAGGTAATAAATATACATAGAACAAGTTATAAATATATTATCATTGCAGTCACGCGTGTGGAAGGCTTGGAGAAAGCTTGGAGAAGTGTATCTATGACTACAATAGCTAATTGCTTTAAAAGTGGCAGACTTAAACTAGTATATATAAGATATAGTCACCAGTTGGGTCGCTCATGTTCCCGGAGTGTTCCTTGTTAGGAGCGGGAAGTCTTTGGACACCGGCGTCGGTACTGGAATATAACGATTAATGTATTAATATGATTGTTATAAGTGACGGGTTCAGAACAACTTGATATACAACTCATTAGGGACGGGTTGATATATGTATTAATTTAACTGACACACAGGTAATAAATATACATAGAACAAGTTATAAATATATTATCATTGCAGTCACGCGTGTGGAAGGCTTGGAGAAAGCTTGGAGAAGTGTATCTATGACTACAATAGCTAATTGCTTTAAAAGTGGCAGACTTAAACTAGTATATATAAGATATAGTCACCAGTTGGGTCGCTCATGTTCCCGGAGTGTTCCTTGTTAGGAGCGGGAAGTCTTTGGACACCGGCGTCGGTACTGGAATATAACGATTAATGTTTTAATATGATTGTTAGAAGTGACGGGTTCAGAACAACTTGATATACAACTCATTAGGGACGGGTTGATATATTAATTTAACTGACACACAGGTAATAAATATACATAGAACAAGTTATAAATATATTATCATTGCAGTCACGCGTGTGGAAGGCTTGCAGAAAGCTTGGAGAAGTGTATCTATGACTACAATAGCTAATTGCTTTAAAAGTGGCAGACTTAAACTAGTATATATAAGATATAGTCACCAGTTGGGTCGCTCATGTTCCCGGAGTGTTCCTTGTTAGGAGCGGGAAGTCTTTGGACACCGGCGTCGGTACTGGAATATAACGATTAATGTTTTAATATGATTGTTAGAAGTGACGGGTTCAGAACAACTTGATATACAACTCATTAGGGACGGGTTGATATATTAATTTAACTGACACACAGGTAATAAATATACATAGAACAAGTAATAAATATATTATCATTGCAGTCACGCGTGTGGAAGGCTTGGAGAAGTGTATCTATGACTACAATAGCTAATTGCTTTAAAAGTGGCAGACTTAAACTAGTATATATAAGATATATTCACCAGTTGGGTCGCTCATGTTCCCGGAGTGTTCCTTGTTAGGAGCGGGAAGTCTTTGGACACCGGCGTCGGTACTGGAATATAACGATTAATGTATTAATACGATTGTTATAAGTGACGGGTTCAGAACAACTTGATATACAACTCATTAGAGACGGGTTGATATATTAATTTAACTGACACACAGGTAATAAATATACATAGAACAAGTTATAAATATATTATCATTGCAGTCACGCGTGTGGAAGGCTTGCAGAAAGCTTGGAGAAGTGTATCTATGACTACAATAGCTAATTGCTTTAAAAGTGGCAGACTTAAACTAGTATATATAAGATATAGTCACCAGTTGGGTCGCTCATGTTCCCGGAGTGTTCCTTGTTAGGAGCGGGAAGTCTTTGGACACCGGCGTCGGTACTGGAATATAACGATTAATGTATTAATATGATTGTTATAAGTGACGGGTTCAGAACAACTTGATATACAACTCATTAGGGACGGGTTGATATATGTATTAATTTAACTGACACACAGGTAATAAATATACATAGAACAAGTTATAAATATATTATCATTGCAGTCACGCGTGTGGAAGGCTTGGAGAAAGCTTGGAGAAGTGTATCTATGACTACAATAGCTAATTGCTTTAAAAGTGGCAGACTTAAACTAGTATATATAAGATATAGTCACCAGTTGGGTCGCTCATGTTCCCGGAGTGTTCCTTGTTAGGAGCGGGAAGTCTTTGGACACCGGCGTCGGTACTGGAATATAACGATTAATGTTTTAATATGATTGTTAGAAGTGACGGGTTCAGAACAACTTGATATACAACTCATTAGGGACGGGTTGATATATTAAATTTAACTGACACACAGGTAATAAATATACATAGAACAAGTTATAAATATATTATCATTGCAGTCACGCGTGTGGAAGGCTTGGAGAACGCTTGGAGAAGTGTATCTATGACTACTATAGCTAATTGCTTTAAAAGTGGCAGACTTAAACTAGTATATATAAGATATATTCACCAGTTGGGTCGCTCATGTTCCCGGAGTGTTCCTTGTTAGGAGCGGGAAGTCTTTGGACACCGGCGTCGGTACTGGAATATAACGATTAATGTATTAATACGATTGTTATAAGTGACGGGTTCAGAACAACTTGATATACAACTCATTAGAGACGGGTTGATATATTATTAATTAACTGACACACAGGTAATAAATATACATAGAACAAGTTATAAATATATTATCATTGCAGTCACGCGTGTGGAAGGCTTGCAGAAAGCTTGGAGAAGTGTATCTATGACTACAATAGCTAATTGCTTTAAAAGTGGCAGACTTAAACTAGTATATATAAGATATAGTCACCAGTTGGGTCGCTCATGTTCCCGGAGTGTTCCTTGTTAGGAGCGGGAAGTCTTTGGACACCGGCGTCGGTACTGGAATATAACGATTAATGTATTAATATGATTGTTATAAGTGACGGGTTCAGAACAACTTGATATACAACTCATTAGGGACGGGTTGATATATGTATTAATTTAACTGACACACAGGTAATAAATATACATAGAACAAGTTATAAATATATTATCATTGCAGTCACGCGTGTGGAAGGCTTGGAGAAAGCTTGGAGAAGTGTATCTATGACTACAATAGCTAATTGCTTTAAAAGTGGCAGACTTAAACTAGTATATATAAGATATAGTCACCAGTTGGGTCGCTCATGTTCCCGGAGTGTTCCTTGTTAGGAGCGGGAAGTCTTTGGACACCGGCGTCGGTACTGGAATATAACGATTAATGTATTAATATGATTGTTATAAGTGACGGGTTCAGAACAACTTGATATACAACTCATTAGGGACGGGTTGATATATGTATTAATTTAACTGACACACAGGTAATAAATATACATAGAACAAGTTATAAATATATTATCATTGCAGTCACGCGTGTGGAAGGCTTGGAGAAAGCTTGGAGAAGTGTATCTATGACTACAATAGCTAATTGCTTTAAAAGTGGCAGACTTAAACTAGTATATATAAGATATAGTCACCAGTTGGGTCGCTCATGTTCCCGGAGTGTTCCTTGTTAGGAGCGGGAAGTCTTTGGACACCGGCGTCGGTACTGGAATATAACGATTAATGTTTTAATATGATTGTTAGAAGTGACGGGTTCAGAACAACTTGATATACAACTCATTAGGGACGGGTTGATATATTAATTTAACTGACACACAGGTAATAAATATACATAGAACAAGTTATAAATATATTATCATTGCAGTCACGCGTGTGGAAGGCTTGGAGAAAGCTTGGAGAAGTGTATCTATGACTACAATAGCTAATTGCTTTAAAAGTGGCAGACTTAAACTAGTATATATAAGATATAGTCACCAGTTGGGTCGCTCATGTTCCCGGAGTGTTCCTTGTTAGGAGCGGGAAGTCTTTGGACACCGGACACCGGCGTCGGTACTGGAATATAACGATTAATGTTTTAATATGATTGTTAGAAGTGACGGGTTCAGAACAACTTGATATACAACTCATAAGGGACGGGTTGATATATATTAATTTAACTGACACACAGGTAATAAATATACATAGAACAAGTTATAAATATATTATCATTGCAGTCACGCGTGTGGAAGGCTTGGAGAAAGCTTGGAGAAGTGTATCTATGACTACAATAGCTAATTGCTTTAAAAGTGGCAGACTTAAACTAGTATATATAAGATATAGTCACCAGTTGGGTCGCTCATGTTCCCGGAGTGTTCCTTGTTAGGAGCGGGAAGTCTTTGGACACCGGCGTCGGTACTGGAATATAACGATTAATGTTTTAATATGATTGTTAGAAGTGACGGGTTCAGAACAACTTGATATACAACTCATTAGGGACGGGTTGATATATTAATTTAACTGACACACAGGTAATAAATATACATAGAACAAGTTATAAATATATTATCATTGCAGTCACGCGTGTGGAAGGCTTGGAGAACGCTTGGAGAAGTGTATCTATGACTACTATAGCTAATTGCTTTAAAAGTGGCAGACTTAAACTAGTATATATAAGATATATTCACCAGTTGGGTCGCTCATGTTCCCGGAGTGTTCCTTGTTAGGAGCGGGAAGTCTTTGGACACCGGCGTCGGTACTGGAATATAACGATTAATGTATTAATACGATTGTTATAAGTGACGGGTTCAGAACAACTTGATATACAACTCATTAGAGACGGGTTGATATATTAATTTAACTGACACACAGGTAATAAATATTCATAGAACAAGTTATAAATATATTATCATTGCAGTCACGCGTGTGGAAGGCTTGCAGAAAGCTTGGAGAAGTGTATCTATGACTACAATAGCTAATTGCTTTAAAAGTGGCAGACTTAAACTAGTATATATAAGATATAGTCACCAGTTGGGTCGCTCATGTTCCCGGAGTGTGTTCCTTGTTAGGAGCGGGAAGTCTTTGGACACCGGCGTCGGTACTGGAATATAACGATTAATGTATTAATATGATTGTTAGAAGTGACGGGTTCAGAACAACTTGATATACAACTCATTAGGGACGGGTTGATATATTAATTTAACTGACACACAGGTAATAAATATACATAGAACAAGTTATAAATATATTATCATTGCAGTCACGCGTGTGGAAGGCTTGGAGAACGCTTGGAGAAGTGTATCTATGACTACTATAGCTAATTGCTTTAAAAGTGGCAGACTTAAACTAGTATATATAAGATATATTCACCAGTTGGGTCGCTCATGTTCCCGGAGTGTTCCTTGTTAGGAGCGGGAAGTCTTTGGACACCGGCGTCGGTACTGGAATATAACGATTAATGTATTAATACGATTGTTATAAGTGACGGGTTCAGAACAACTTGATATACAACTCATTAGAGACGGGTTGATATATTAATTTAACTGACACACAGGTAATAAATATTCATAGAACAAGTTATAAATATATTATCATTGCAGTCACGCGTGTGGAAGGCTTGCAGAAAGCTTGGAGAAGTGTATCTATGACTACAATAGCTAATTGCTTTAAAAGTGGCAGACTTAAACTAGTATATATAAGATATAGTCACCAGTTGGGTCGCTCATGTTCCCGGAGTGTTCCTTGTTAGGAGCGGGAAGTCTTTGGACACCGGCGTCGGTACTGGAATATAACGATTAATGTATTAATATGATTGTTATAAGTGACGGGTTCAGAACAACTTGATATACAACTCATTAGGGACGGGTTGATATATGTATTAATTTAACTGACACACAGGTAATAAATATACATAGAACAAGTTATAAATATATTATCATTGCAGTCACGCGTGTGGAAGGCTTGGAGAAAGCTTGGAGAAGTGTATCTATGACTACAATAGCTAATTGCTTTAAAAGTGGCAGACTTAAACTAGTATATATAAGATATAGTCACCAGTTGGGTCGCTCATGTTCCCGGAGTGTTCCTTGTTAGGAGCGGGAAGTCTTTGGACACCGGCGTCGGTACTGGAATATAACGATTAATGTTTTAATATGATTGTTAGAAGTGACGGGTTCAGAACAACTTGATATACAACTCATTAGGGACGGGTTGATATATTAATTTAACTGACACACAGGTAATAAATATACATAGAACAAGTTATAAATATATTATCATTGCAGTCACGCGTGTGGAAGGCTTGGAGAACGCTTGGAGAAGTGTATCTATGACTACTATAGCTAATTGCTTTAAAAGTGGCAGACTTAAACTAGTATATATAAGATATATTCACCAGTTGGGTCGCTCATGTTCCCGGAGTGTTCCTTGTTTAGAGCGGGAAGTCTTTGGACACCGGCGTCGGTACTGGAATATAACGATTAATGTATTAATACGATTGTTATAAGTGACGGGTTCAGAACAACTTGATATACAACTCATTAGGGACGGGTTGATATATTAATTTAACTGACACACAGGTAATAAATATACATAGAACAAGTTATAAATATATTATCATTGCAGTCACGCGTGTGGAAGGCTTGGAGAAAGCTTGGAGAAGTGTATCTATGACTACAATAGCTAATTGCTTTAGAAGTGGCAGACTTAAACTAGTATATATAAGATGAGTCGTATAGAATCAAAGGCGGCAATCTGCATATTTTGTCAAAATAGAGATTTTTATATGGACACACAGGAAATTTAAAATAACGTTACGTACTTCATTTACTTTATAACAAAAACAACTATCTCGCAGTGAAATCTTTTTTGAAAATCAGGTTTAGCATCAAATCCGGCAATCTTCAACAGCATAAGAATCAAACCCGGCATTCTAACTCATTCCACCAATCACAAGCGTCCGTGTGGTCACGTGATCTAATGACGTCTGTATGAAGTTTCTAACGAATTTGTGTCCGTGTTTTATTAAATTATTTTATTTATTGTGATTACAGTTATAAAATATAGGTATAAATTGAATCATGGATGTACATTCTAAGCCTGTAATAAATAAGTTTGCCCGGAAACGACAGAGAAACTCAGAAAAATGGAAACAAAACTTGGCGAAGAAACCCAAGTAAAATGTATAGGGCTGTCACGTCACGACTAAGACAAAGTGTATTCTATGTTTTTTAACCCTAACAAAAGATGAGTGTTATAAAGTTGACCACTATACTATGCGTATATGTGTAAATGGATTTTCATGCGGTTCTTTTAATATTCCTGAACAAAATCTGAAAAAAAGTTACACAGTTTTAAATTATAATTGTCAGCTTTTTTTAAAATACACTTATACTTAAAACAAATTTATAACATTTTTTTATATCCTTTTGACAACCCTGAACGAGTTAATTTTTTAGTCAGTTTCATAAACGGCAATCTCGACATAATTTGGTATCAAATACGGCATTCTCAGATGTTTGGTTTCAAATCCGGCATTCTGCAAAATTATTTTCTAAATTTCTTCAAATTGTTATTTTTATAGTACACAATGAGAGTTTAATATTAAGCGCATCAATACTTACATCACTTAAAATAAAGTTACGTAATATTATTTTTGAATCGGACGACACAAACCGAAAATGTTCAATTCTCTGATTTCAGTCTAAGTGTAGATTGCCGCCTTTGATTCTATACGACTCAGATATAGTCACCAGTTGGGTCGCTCATGTTCCCGGAGTGTTCCTTGTTAGGAGCGGGAAGTCTTTGGACACCGGCGTCGGTACTGGAATATAACGATTAATGTATTAATATGATTGTTAGAAGTGACGGGTTCAGAACAACTTGATATACAACTCATTAGGGACGGGTTGATATATTAATTTAACTGACACACAGGTAATAAATATACATAGAACAAGTTATAAATATATTATCATTGCAGTCACGCGTGTGGAAGGCTTGGAGAAAGCTTGGAGAAGTGTATCTATGACTACAATAGCTAATTGCTTTAAAAGTGGCAGACTTAAACTAGTATATATAAGATATATTCACCAGTTGGGTCGCTCATGTTCCCGGAGTGTTCCTTGTTAGGAGCGGGAAGTCTTTGGACACCGGCGTCGGTACTGGAATATAACGATTAATGTATTAATACGATTGTTATAAGTGACGGGTTCAGAACAACTTGATATACAACTCATTAGGGACGGGTTGATATATTAATTTAACTGACACACAGGTAATAAATATACATAGAACAAGTTATAAATATATTATCATTGCAGTCACGCGTGTGGAAGGCTTGGAGAACGCTTGGAGAAGTGTATCTATGACTACTATAGCTAATTGCTTTAAAAGTGGCAGACTTAAACTAGTATATATAAGATATATTCACCAGTTGGGTCGCTCATGTTCCCGGAGTGTTCCTTGTTAGGAGCGGGAAGTCTTTGGACACCGGCGTCGATTCTGGAATATAACGATTAATGTATTAATATGATTGTTATAAGTGACGGGTTCAGAACAACTTGATATACAACTCATTAGGGACGGGTTGATATATGTATTAATTTAACTGACACACAGGTAATAAATATACATAGAACAAGTTATAAATATATTATCATTGCAGTCACGCGTGTGGAAGGCTTGCAGAAAGCTTGGAGAAGTGTATCTATGACTACAATAGCTAATTGCTTTAAATGTGGCAGACTTAAACTAGTATATATAAGATATAGTCACCAGTTGGGTCGCTCATGTTCCCGGAGTGTTCCTTGTTAGGAGCGGGAAGTCTTTGGACACCGGCGTCGGTACTGGAATATAACGATTAATGTATTAATACGATTGTTATAAGTGACGGGTTCAGAACAACTTGATATACAACTCATTAGGGACGGGTTGATATATGTATTAATTTAACTGACACACAGGTAATAAATATACATAGAACAAGTTATAAATATATTATCATTGCAGTCACGCGTGTGGAAGGCTTGCAGAAAGCTTGGAGAAGTGTATCTATGACTACAATAGCTAATTGCTTTAAAAGTGGCAGACTTAAACTAGTATATATAAGATATAGTCACCAGTTGGGTCGCTCATGTTCCCAGAGTGTTCCTTGTTAGGAGCGGGAAGTCTTTGGACACCGGCGTCGGTACTGGAATATAACGATTAATGTATTATTATAATTGTTATAAGTGACGGGTTCAGAACAACTTGATATACAACTCATTAGGGACGGGTTGATATATTAATTTAACTGACACACAGGTAATAAATATACATAGAACAAGTTATAAATATATTATCATTGCAGTCACGCGTGTGGAAGGCTTGGAGAAAGCTTGGAGAAGTGTATCTATGACTACAATAGCTAATTGCTTTAAAAGTGGCAGACTTAAACTAGTATATATAAGATATAGTCACCAGTTGGGTCGCTCATGTTCCCGGAGTGTTCCTTGTTAGGAGCGGGAAGTCTTTGGACACCGGCGTCGGTACTGGAATATAACGATTAATGTATTAATATGATTGTTATAAGTGACGGGTTCAGAACAACTTGATATACAACTCATTAGGGACGGGTTGATATATGTATTAATTTAACTGACACACAGGTAATAAATATACATAGAACAAGTTATAAATATATTATCATTGCAGTCACGCGTGTGGAAGGCTTGGAGAACGCTTGGAGAAGTGTATCTATGACTACTATAGCTAATTGCTTTAAAAGTGGCAGACTTAAACTAGTATATATAAGATATATTCACCAGTTGGGTCGCTCATGTTCCCGGAGTGTTCCTTGTTAGGAGCGGGAAGTCTTTGGACACCGGCGTCGGTACTGGAATATAACGATTAATGTATTAATACGATTGTTATAAGTGACGGGTTCAGAACAACTTGATATACAACTCATTAGGGACGGGTTGATATATTAATTTAACTGACACACAGGTAATAAATATACATAGAACAAGTTATAAATATATTATCATTGCAGTCACGCGTGTGGAAGGCTTGGAGAACGCTTGGAGAAGTGTATCTATGACTACAATAGCTAATTGCTTTAAAAGTGGCAGACTTAAACTAGTATATATAAGATATAGTCACCAGTTGGGTCGCTCATGTTCCCGGAGTGTTCCTTGTTAGGAGCGGGAAGTCTTTGGACACCGGCGTCGGTACTGGAATATAACGATTAATGTTTTAATATGATTGTTATAAGTGACGGGTTCAGAACAACTTGATATACAACTCATTAGGGACGGGTTGATATATTAATTTAACTGACACACAGGTAATAAATATACATAGAACAAGTTATAAATATATTATCATTGCAGTCACGCGTGTGGAAGGCTTGGAGAAAGCTTGGAGAAGTGTATCTATGACTACAATAGCTAATTGCTTTAAAAGTGGCAGACTTAAACTAGTATATATAAGATATATTCACCAGTTGGGTAGCTCATGTTCCCGGAGTGTTCCTTGTTAGGAGCGGGAAGTCTTTGGACACCGGCGTCGGTACTGGAATATAACGATTAATGTATTAATATCATTGTTATAAGTGACGGGTTCAGAACAACTTGATATACAACTCATTAGGGACGGGTTGATATATTAATTTAACTGACACACAGGTAATAAATATACATAGAACAAGTTATAAATATATTATCATTGCAGTCACGCGTGTGGAAGGCTTGCAGAAAGCTTGGAGAAGTGTATCTATGACTACAATAGCTAATTGCTTTAAAAGTGGCAGACTTAAACTAGTATATATAAGATATAGTCACCAGTTGGGTCGCTCATGTTCCCGGAGTGTTCCTTGTTAGGAGCGGGAAGTCTTTGGACACCGGCGTCGGTACTGGAATATAACGATTAATGTATTAATACGATTGTTATAAGTGACGGGTTCAGAACAACTTGATATACAACTCATTAGGGACGGGTTGATATATTAATTTAACTGACACACAGGTAATAAATGTACATAGAACAAGTTATAAATATATTATCATTGCAGTCACGCGTGTGGAAGGCTTGGAGAAAGCTTTGAGAAGTGTATCTATGACTACAATAGCTAATTGCTTTAAAAGTGGCAGACTTAAACTAGTATATATAAGATATATTCACCAGTTGGGTCGCTCATGTTCCCGGAGTGTTCCTTGTTAGGAGCGGGAAGTCTTTGGACACCGGCGTCGGTACTGGAATATAACGATTAATGTATTAATATGATTGTTATAAGTGACGGGTTCAGAACAACTTGATATACAACTCATTAGGGACGGGTTGATATATTAATTTAACTGACACACAGGTAATAAATATACATAGAACAAGTTATAAATATATTATCATTGCAGTCACGCGTGTGGAAGGCTTGCAGAAAGCTTGGAGAAGTGTATCTATGACTACAATAGCTAATTGCTTTAAATGTGGCAGACTTAAACTAGTATATATAAGATATAGTCACCAGTTGGGTCGCTCATGTTCCCGGAGTGTTCCTTGTT